TACTTCAGCCCTTACATTGTAAAGTGTAGTCTCATAAACTTCATATGACAAAATATTTTGCCTATTTCAACCAAAAATTCACCTAATAGCTTTGAAACATAGAAAAGTTCAAAAAAAGGAAAACTGCGCAAAATTTCCTTCAAAAATCTACCAACCTCCCTATAGCTCTCGCTAGTTAACATTTTATCCTCAACTCAGCCTTCATTTTTATACGGCATCCAATGAAATAATATCCACCTAATCTCCTTTAATTGTCTGTGAAAAAAAATTTTACCATAAGAATCAAATCGTTCAGCAGCAGAGTAGCTTTCAAAGAAACAGGATCTTCAGGATCGACCAGAATCAATCGAATCAGAGACTGACAAAAAATTAGGTTAAAAGGAAACGTGAATTTCAAATAAGTTTAAGTTTTTGAAATATTTCTTGATTCCTAAGAATTACCTGTAAAACTCCTGCATCGACAAGAAAGAACAAGGCTAAGCTTCGAAACGACTTCAACAGATCAACTTTTTTTAGAATTTCCTTGAAAAAACCGAACGATATTATTCAAAATCACTGCTGCCAAACTAAAACTAAAAAATCAAAATCTGACTTAACAACCTGTGAATGTGATAAAGAATACTTATGTTCCGCAAGTATAAAGTCTTCCCGTAAAGAGCATTTGTAAGGATCTGGGAAATCTTTTGAGGCTGAAAAAAAACCTGTTTTATAGCGGTAAAATAAATGAAGTAAATTATGGCTAAAAGGAATTAAAATATACAATAATAATGAACAGCGTCAATCCATGACTCAAAACTTTTCCCAGCATACGGACAGTCCGTTAATTCACAACATAAATTGACAACAAGGTCTCGCATCTTCTTTAAGACTTTGTTTACCACTGTTCCAGAGCCAAGATACTGAAGAAGCCTACAAAAAAAAGAGAGGTAATTAAAAACTTCTTGCCGAAAAAGAAGTACAAACCTAAATGGAGACGCAACAATGGTTTTTCCGTAACGGTCGGAAGACACACAAGAATACAGCCCAGACCATGTTGTAAGTAAATTGAGCAGAACTTCAAAGCAAGAATCGAGGATGTTCTGAACCCTTTCCTCAGAAGCCTTCCTATAGGAAAAAAAAAAGGTTTAGGATCAAAACTCCAAAAAGTCGACCAGAGCACCAAGCACAAGAATATAACTTAAGGCGAAAGCATAAAATACCAGCATCTATACTACAGTATGAATGAACAAGGTTTACAGTTCTCCTACTGTCACGGACTGGAAGAACCCTATTTCGACTATGGGCGCGAAAAGTTGCTAAAATTAAAAACTGATATAAGTAATTCAGGAACTATTCAGAAGTAGTGTTTTATTCCTTAGAAGAAAAAAAGCATGATCCATAGCCAAATATTACTTCCAAAACGGTGTTTAGCTTAGCTTCTGTACGAAGTCGAGGGCAATCCAACCATAAGCATAAAATGCGACAAACAAGTACTGAAACCCACTTGTTATTCGGTATCAGTAGAGCATCAACTATCCATCCTATAAATAAAAAAAACATTATAGTAAAACATTATTAGTATCAAAAAAACATTATAGAAAACACCAGTTTCCCAACGCTTCAAATCGAGAACTAGACTAAAAAATTTAAAAAAGTAAACATATCTAACAACATTTCATACAAATGAAACTTAGACTTTGAAGAAATATTGTTTTTATAACAGTAAAAACAAAAACCATTTGTTTTGCATAAAACAGACAGATTGAAGGGTAGATACGTACCAGTGCCAGCGACGTCAATAACAAGAAAAGGATCATTAACAGCGGTCTCCAGAAATACAGCAAAACAGGGCAAAGCTAGCCTTAAAAAAGTCCCAAATTTAAGCCTTCTTCACAACGTGGAATAAACCAGACAAAACTCCTCAAAAGTCCAAAAAAATAAAATAATACATTAACCATGCGATCTTAAAGACGTAGACTAACTTATCATTCTTCCGCTGAGACACATCTTCCTCCATTTCAGAAAAGGCAGATTTAGCGATGAGAAAAATTGGAAGAAGTACAGACTTTGGAAATAGAGATGTCCTTATTCCTGGGATTTCTCGAGATGTATAAGACTCACACTCCACTGAACCCCTGCTTTTTCTGACAGACCTGTTATAAACTTGAAGCATAACTGCAGAAAGCTTCAGAGCTTCTATCCTTTCTTCATCATTATGTGCATTCAGGTCCAAAGCCCTGGAAAAGTTTTCCGAAAACAATGGAGGCTTCTAATTCCACGTTGATTTAGAACAGCGAGAAATCATACGATAGAAAAATATTTAACAAAATTTACTTTCCATCCTGCTCACCTTGAAATAAACAAATCCACTTGAAGGCTGAGTAGAATGTTAAGAATTTTTTCATTAACACACACTAAACGCAATATCTGGATACATACAGCACGTACACAGTGATATTCATTAAACAAATGGCGACTGATCCTGGAATGCTTTTTTTTTCTTTAAAAGCTGCTATATCAAAAACATAAGAATTACAGTAAAAAGACATGTGGAACCTAAACGAACATGAAATATTTCAGCGATAAATCTAACCCCCCGCACAAAGAGAAATTACTGCAAATGAGTTTTTTCAAAAATCTATTTGAGATACTTCAGTAAGTACACTTTTAATTTCCTACGACTAATTCAAAATTGGTATGACTCAACTTACTTTCTTACTAGATCTTCCACGG